GAGAAGACATAGAGAGTGTGAGGCTTCAATAATATCTGTTCAGGTGCACGTTAAATTCAGGTCAAAAGTTGTGGTTTGGGTTAAATTTATCAGCGTGGCTGTGATTTTTTTTCTTGACAATACATATTTTCATTAAAATTTTCTGATAGTCGCACCTTGGTTGTTTTCGTATACATATTCTATTTCAAGGAGGAAATACTTTGTCACAACTAAAACAGTGTACGTACAGGTCCTTGAAATCCTTGAAAGCCCTTGAATTTCGAAAATTCATTTTCAAGGCCCTTGAAAGTCCTGGAATTTTTCGCCATCCTTTAAAATCCTTGAATTTCCTGAGCAGTGCACTCTAATATCAACATTACGAAGGATGCACGAAAAGAAAGTGCACAGAACGAGTGCTAATGAACGACTGTCAGAGCTCGACCCTGGAAGTGTGCTGCTTAAACAAACCAAGAATGGCACTAGAAAAGAACACACATGTATCCACAGGATGAGTGTAAATTAACCACTGTCCCAGTTGTTACTTGTTAGTTGTTGAGCAACGTGCTGCGAGTGTCAGCTGTGCACAAGTTGACACTCTTGATGGAATGGTGCCATCAAATTTCAAGGCTATAGCAAGCACCGTGTGTGTTTAATAATACATTTTAAGTCACCTCCTAAGTGTACCTAAATGCTCAATTGTCCTAATCGAGACCTATCGCGAGCACGTCCAACACTGACCTAGCTCTACAGGAAGGGCAACAAAAGTTCTAGTGATGTCACACTACATCTGTAGTCAGCTGAGTGACCTCCGGACTTCCACCCCGTACATACCGACAAACTATCGTGGCGGCTGCAAATACAGTACACTCTCATTAAACGAAACTCTCTTAAATGAAATTGCTGCTTAAATGGAACAACTGCCACTAATATGTTTGGTTTCCTACTTGAATATTATACCCCTATTAATCTCTCAGTAAACGAAACTCCTCTTAAAGGAAACACATTTTCCTGGTCCCTTCAGGTTTCTTTTAAAAGGAGCCTACTAAGTGGCGAGTTTGTTTTACAGGTGCTTGTGTGGCACGTTTGCGAGAGCTGACAATACTCAACGTGACGTGGGCAAAGCTTTGTGATCACGTGACTAAGTGAGCTACACTGCTATGCACCTGCACAACTCAGGCCCCACAAACATGAACTGAAAATTGTCCATATCAAAAAGGCGACAAATTATATAGCGAGAATAAATAAATCGTGGTGCGTGTATTGTGCTTATTGGAGCTATAATTAAAGCTTGCAGCAAAGGGCACGCAAGCCACAAATATTGTGGCACTACCCCTTTAAGGCCTGACTACACATGTGCGTTGAAACCCATCAGCGCGTAACTTTCCGACATGACATCGTGCCCTCTCCCTATGAAGAGGGTGCGAGAATTTTAAATACTACGCTCTTTTTTTATAAATGTGATATGTATATATTTTAGGTGCAATAAAATGGGTCATTTTTGAAAATTTTAGAGTAAAAAATTTCAACTTCGCATGCTGCTTTGAGTCCTTGAAAAACTTTGAACAGGTCCTGGAAAGTCCTTGAATATCCTTGAATTTTTGCTTTGGAAACCTGTGTGAACCCTGTATGGCATTGATGAGACTAATTAACAGAAGCTTGTCCATTAGCTTCTTAATTATTGGACAAAAGGCAGTTGCTTATATTAGATTTTTAGTGCCTGCAACTTTATCGCATACTTATATTTTAGAAATTGCAAAACAAGCACGTAATTTGAGATATTTATCATCGAATTTTGAGGAAAAAATCTAAAGTGATTACCAAATGCACAGAAAATATGGCCTCTCTGTGACAAGCGTGTGACAGAATTCGAATCAAGGTGCATTGTGGCCGTATCTTTTCGTGAAAAGCACTAAGTCATCTCACCTGCGCCAGCAGATTGCTTTACCTTGGTTTGTGGTGTTTGGTATTTATGTTTCTTTCTCTGTGCATCATAAATCTCAGGAAGGAGGGGGCGGCTGTTGCAGCAATTCTTTACGCAGACGGGCAATAGAGTTTTTCGTCAGCATCACTCATATTCGTGTTCATATTCACCACTCATATTCAATTGCATCACTCAAAAGATTAGGCTGTCTACTCGTGTATTTCAAGATGCTTCCTTTCATTTCATTTCATTTTGTTACCTTAAAAGCCCAACAGGCCCATGACATGAGCGGTGGGTTTACACATGTTCATTACAAATTGGTTAGAAATAACATGTGAATAAGCATTACTAATTATAACATGAATAATATGGGTACATGATTCTGTAATGTATGCGAGCAGTTGGGATGATGAAAATGACATCCAGGAGTTTTTATTCTGAATAATAATTAGATATTTCTTGTATGAATGCGGGTGGGGTGGTTATGGCGGCGGTGAAGCGGGGGGGGTCGGCAGACCTAATAGACCTCTCCCTGTTTGTAAACAGTGTCACATCACTGCAGGCACCCCGCCCACCATACCCTCTCTTGGAGCAGGTGCTGATTGGCAAGAGAGTTTCGCCGGCGGCATCTTTCTGCATAGCAGAGCTGGGTGTCTGCATTCCTGCGACAGAAATTTCTACATTGCTATGTCTAAAGTAACAGCTTTTGAAAGAAAGGGTTCGCGGAAGGGTCACTGTTCATAGTGTGGAAATTTGCTCGTTGTAGATGGATGGAGAAAGTTCATTTAGTGTATTGAGAGACACGACTAGCACGCAGTGGGCTTCACCCACGTAGATGGCAGCCATAATAAAATCTGATCTTTTTCGAAAGCAAATGTTTTGAATGTACAGTGTGACTGGCCCTTTGAGAAATATTTACATGGCATGGGTGTAAACTTAATCAATTTTCATCATGGCATATGCAATGCAGTTTTAAACGAAGTACAGCATTGGCGGCAGCGTGGTTTTGAGCTGCTGTGCACAAAGTCAATGACAAGATTCTTACCAATTGTGCAAACGTCTGATCAGAGATAAATGAAAAAACAAAAGAAGCACTTCTTGCCGTGCGTTAGGGTGAGGTTAACATATTCTCATGAAAATTAAAGTGAATTTCTGTTGCTGAGTTTCTCAATAACCCAGTGAAAGTTCATGTGATGTAACACCTGACAACTTAATAATATACAGTACTATTTGGCACAGTTACCTTGCTTCGTTTGACACCTATAGCGTGTTTTCATGCCCATATTGCTCCTTTAGGCCTCATACACAAACTTCCAATGTGCATTGTGACTTAATAAGGATCGAGCCGTAAAAGTACAAAGTAGATAAGAAATGAAAATTTCTGCTGTTTCTATTAACACGGATAAGGTATCCGATAATACGAGTTACAGTCGTAGTGAAGTGTGTATGCAGATTCGGCAACGCAAAAACATTCTTATAGCTCATGCGTAGTCCTATATATCACCCGGAGATCATGCACTTTTATTTTTCTGCACACAGCGCATATGCTGAGATGTACCCACTTGCAGATGATCATGTCACATGCATTTTTACCTTGACTAAAATGTCAGATCGTGAAGTTCCATCGACAGCCAGTTACGGAAACCAGCCCACAACGAATACCAGTGTTTTCGCAAACAAGACGCATCATGTTATTCGCACTGCACACACCACACACAATACTTCCAGTTTTACCGTCCGTAAAGGTGAACCAATATTATCGATGCCTTTGAATGCACACTACTCGCCACAGTCAACACTGCGCATTTTTGAAGACGATGCCACTGTCCCTCGCACAGGCCACCGCGTGTGTTTACTTCGAGATAAACAGCCAGTCATCGTGGCAAATATTTAATCACGCACTTTACCACACACGTAGATGTTCTCTGACACATACCACAGCTAATGTTGCCACTGTGAGATGAAGATTAGACTGTCAAAAGGAAAAAAACAAACTTGCCCCAAGCACCAAGCGACTGCACCCCACTCAGCTACCAGCGGAAGTGTTTTGCGAACCACCGCCTTGCACGTGCACCAGTGACGTCACGCTGTGACGTACCCCGGTAGAGGTCTATTCTTTTCACAATGACGAAACCCCGACATGGTATAAATATTGAGAGTGTACGAATCTCACGACATAGTATTACTCGAATTTGAGAGCATTGCTTAAATATGTTTGCTGGAGGCTCCATACTGTGCATGCGTATGTGAGTTCAGAGAATATTATGGTTTGATAGGCTGATCGCATGCTTTGTAGCTTGTTTTAGGTGATGTTTAGAGAAACCAAGTGCCTTGTTAGAAGATGAGATGACATTAGTAATATGCACATTTAAGGATAAATTATTAGTTTAGGTAACACAGAGGTATTTGTAAAACGGCGAAGGTTCTAATGGTATCACTCACATTTTTCTGACCAGACTCCGCTTTCGTGTGCCTTGATTCAAATTTTGTCACTTCTTTGTTCTTCAAGGTTCTGGTCTGACGCAACAGAGAGATCACATTCTCTACGCGCGAGGCGCACTCAGGCTGCGCGATCAGTTTCAATTTCACTGGTAAAATTTGATGATGAATTGCTTAAATTATGTGCGACTTTCGTGATTTCTAGACAAATAGGTAAGCCAAAAATTGGCTGTAACTACAACTTTCTAATATAAACAACTGCCTTTGTTGATATAAATGGAGTTGTCTGCTTTTTTGTTATTCTTGACAATGCCATTTTTGTTGCAGTAAAGTATTTTCGCCTCTACATAGAGTACATGTACATAACCACTGTAGTGTGCCTTTTATAGAACTTTTATAAAAAATCTAGTGTTAAAAAAAAGACCCTCTATGACTGAAGGAACTGTGCTCGTATGCTTGCAGTATCTTTTTTTCAAACTAATCTACATTTATTAGCATGTAATTATCGGATTCTTTCATTTCAAGAGCATCATTGCAAGTTTATAGCACTGTATCTTGTGTTACATTAACCTCTGCATAATCTCATGTTGTAAATTAATTATTTATTGCTGAATCTTTTGTCTGGTAAAACATTTATATTTCTGTTCTTTTTTCAATGCAGGCCGCTCCTTGCATGGCACCACCAAAGAGTGTGGTGAAAAAGAAGAAGTCGAAGAAAGTAATCGATTTTCCCAGGTAACGCTACTGCTGTAACATTGTGTGTTTTAACATGTGCAGCTGTTTTGAGTAGCTCTGGATTATGCATAGCTTCAAAAAAAACAAAATTAAACTCTCTTGTAACAGGCTAGACGAGCTTTTCTAGATTAAATATAAGCTTGCACACACACATGCATATACAGTCAGACACGGTTATATCGAACCCACATATATCGAAGTTTCAGGTATATGGAACTCGCAAGTTATCCCCTTGAAATTCCTTTGTAAAAGTATAGAAATTCGCACGTTTATATCGAACGGTGTTTTTACCCACCTTCGAATATATCGAACGCCGTGCGAGCTGGAAGGTATGCTTTGGCATGTGTGCGGAATTAGTTGTCATTCTTGAATTCACCTATTGTAGGTGATGATCCGCTACAGCTAAGCTCTCGGGGGGCCTCTATTTTTTTATATCGAATTTTTCATATATTGAACTACTTCGCAATACCCTTCGAGTTCGATATATTCGTGTTCGACTGTACACACACGCACACACAAGTGGAGTTGTTATTCATTATTTATGCACTGCAAGCAATCACTATAAGTGAATTCACTTCCTCCAGAGCTTCCTTGATCTAATAAACTTGATGAACAGCTGAAACTTTTTCTTAAATTAAAATACAGAGAAGTTGTTTGTACTAAAATGCTCTTGTATGTGTTTCACTTGTGGGAGCAGTTAACACAGTTTGGAGTTTTCCAAAGTCGTTGCACTGCATCGAACCTGCTCCAAATTTGGGTTTTAGTGCTCCAAAAGTAACATTTCGCTGCTGGGTGATTCCACAAGAGATCGACACGGTTCCAAAAGTTGATATTTTAGATTTCGTTGAGTGTTTTATATTTCGTGCACCTCTCACCAGGTAGCCCGAAAGTTAACTTCGTTTTATGATTAACGGCATAACTTACGAGAAAAAAAATATCAAACTTCACCAACACGGAGGCACCAATTTCGTCACCTGTCATTTTTTAAAATTGCAGATGCTATAAAAAGACAAATATTTTTGTTTCAAGGAAGATATTTTTTACCTGAAATGCATGTCTAATGACATGCATTTCAGGTAAAATGTCACTGAAGGGCGGCCATAGTTGTAGAGCCGAGAACCCTAAAACTGCTAGTGGCAGCAAGCTCATGCTCTTTCACTGCACTGCGGATGGAAAAGATGCACAACTTTAATTGTAACAGCAAGCGTAAGAGGGGTTATATTACCTCCCTTATATAGCACTTAGGAGTCTTTGGGCCCTATCGGCATTTTTGGCTTGCCTGATCATTTGTAGCTGGCCCTGAATGTTTGATCTAAGCAGCGCAGTCTTTTACTGCTGCATGTTCAGATATGTGCGTGTTTGGCCCCTTCACGAGGTTGGGACAAGCTAAGATAATGTGTTTGGGGTCAACCCACTGATTGCAGTGTTTACATCTGTCTGAGTAGAAGTCTAGATAACAATGACTATATAAGTGATTGGGTTAGGGAAGGTGCCTGTTTTCAATGGGCTCCATGCTGTTGCCTGCTGTTTATTTGATGACAAATGTGGTGAAGGGTGAAGCACATGAGAATCAAAATTATGACAAAAATATTTAAAAGTAATGATGATTTAAAAATGTTTTTGTACAAGGTCCAGCATGGCATGAAATGTTTTTCTGTGGTAGCAAAGCTGTGTTGTGACCTGTACAACTCTATCACTGAATGTTTTCACATTGGAAGTATTCTGTTTTCAATGTTGTCAAAAGCTGGTGGGCAGCCCTGTTTTGGAAATTTCTGGATCAGATTGGTCAATTCTCTCCAGTATGAAAAATTGTGCAGTTGATCCTTGTGGTTGATTTTCTGACTCTGTATAAAAGAACGTCTAGCCTTTTTAGTGTGGTCTTGCAGCATAATTTTATTTTTAAAGAGGTCTCCTTCCAGAGAAAGGTTCGTGTCAGCATTAACCATGGGAATACTAGTGGTTGTGGCTATTGTCATCTGCCCGGTTTTTGTACCAGTTATGAGATTAATTAGTTTCTAGACAATACTCAAACTCCCACAATATAGGGTCATTGCAGCACATTGTAAAGTGACAAAGAGTTTTTGCTAAACACATCTGTTCAATAGATGGAAAAAAAAGATCTTTTTGACGTGGTCCTTGGTTGTGTATAAACTCTCATACCAACAAACATTTCTTCTGAGCAACAACCACCAATCAATCTCAAAAGATTTTTTTGTAAGTTGAGTACAAGATTTAATAATATCAGGAGCTAGATGCACATCGTGGATTTTGTGATGTGGGCGACATGGTTGGTTTAAAGGTTGTCACTTGAAGAGTTTGATTTCACTAGTTTCGTTACCATTTAGGGATTCCCTATCATTGCACACTTGCAAAAATTACTAACTATTACCCACTTCGGGTGAGGCCTCGCTGATCTAACATCGGCGTGCGGCAGACTCGCGGGCTTCCACTTTATGTTTAGGTGAGCGATGCCTGAAAGTCCTCCAAGTGGTACATTTCAAATTTATTTGCAGGCCGGTCAACCCATGCAGGGTTACTTGTGTAGCGTTGTTTGGGTCTGACTTACGTACACATATAGCTGACATGAACGTTTGATTAAAAACAAACAAGCATTTAATTAAATCAAGGGCAAAGCAAGAGTTAACAAAAATCAACTAAGAGGACAAACACAAATATGCACAATGAAAAGGACAACTACTAAACAAGGTATGCTCTAAAAGAACACTACAAGTACAAATACTATACGCGATGCAGTACATTAATAAAATAACTGGACATGATGGAAACTAAAATAGTTACAAAGATGAATTACAAGAAAAATAGTGTTCGTGCTTTTGAGTTTTAACGCGCATCGCGTCGCACACTAAGACAAAGTTAAAAGCTGGGCGTAATAAAATAACGGTTTGAAAAAAATTCACAATAAAAAGTTCCATACGTCGTCGTCGCCTACGCGAGACTCGCGACACCAACGACCGTGCTTCTCGATGGTTGACCGTTAACTGCCAAAGCAGTCAAACTCTTTCAGGGCGTACGCCTCCCCTCTTGAGGTCATTTTCCTTGAACACATGCGTACGTGCTCGCTGCAGGTGTAGAGAAGACGTGGCGGCACCGTTGTCCAGTAGATAGTTGCCGGATATCTTTTACCAATACAAAAGCGAAGGAGCATGCGGACGAGAATGCCAGACATTTGTGACAAACTGAAAAAGAAACAACTGCGTTTATGTAATTTCGTTTGCTTGTCTTCTGGTCGCCTTTTTGAGTTTTGAGTCTGTTTTGGTGAAAAACTATAGCACCACCTGTTGGTCGGTAAAAGGTAGCAATAGTGCAAATGATGCCCTTCTTCCCACGTGGGAGTTGGCAGTTTGGTCTGTTATAAGTGAAATCAAACTCTTGAAAATTGATCAGTAGTAGAGGCTCCCAACAACACAGGAGCCAAATATTATAGCCCAGCACGCGGCCTGGAATTCACAATAAATTATCAAAGTCAGCTAAAAATTGCTTTCTCTTCTTTCGACAAATCACATTATATGCCCAGAAATCACACGTCAACGACCCATCTATCAGCCATTGGCTTATTGAACATGGCGCGCTCGCTCTTTACAGAGATCGCCGCAGGAGGCCGCTACTTGTCCACGCGTGCGCTCACGATCACACTGAAAAAGCCGTGCATTCAAAGAAAAAAGAAAAACAAGTGCTCAAATTCGCAAAGCACACATGACGTTTTTCGGTGGCCCTGTCATCCCTCCGTGCTTAGCTTCCAGTGCTTTCATCGGGACGAGGGAAGAGAGAATCCAATTGCAGCATGCGACAAACCTTTGTAAATCCACTCGCACTGGGCGGATTCTTAAAATTTTTGCGGCGTTCAATTCCAGAGGCGATAAGTTCTTCTGTGAATTCATTCCATGGTTACTTGAAAAAGTGTTTTAGGGGCCCTTTAAGCACTCTTTTTTTTCTTTTGCATGAGACTGTAGTGCTGTGAGGTCTCATGATTGCTATTTTAACCGTTTCATTGGCCTTATATTTGCCATTCATGCCCCTTGCAGTAAGGTAGAGAAGTGGGTCAATTTCGAACTGATGCATGTTGTAAAAAATTACGCCATCTGTCGCTAAAGGGAACCATTTGTAGATTCGAAGCAGCGGGCGATAACGCTTACACTGGTCGAGACGTTGACGCTGGCAATCATCACAGCATTGCGCAGGAAAGAAACCTGCGGAGGCGCAAAGCACACAGTGGTGGAACGGGTTTTTGTACTGGAACATGCCAATTGCTACTAAGGAGAAACGGAAGGGTCCGATTGGACACAGAGATACGCAATCCGCTTTTAGTTAACGCACACGCTGCGAATTTTTGTTGTTCAACAACGCACTGAAGAAATCTCCCACCGGCACTTCCTTGGAGGTCAATATGCAGTGCCTATATATACAGGGTGGCCAGTAAATGGTTGTGGAGCGTGGGCAGTCGGTTTTTACAATAAAAAAACTCGCTAGCAGACGCTACCTGCATTGGCATTGCGAAGCGATGGAGGGGCAGCGTAGGAGAGGAGAGAGGGGGGGGGGGACGCGCATGCGCAACGGTGGTGTAAATGCCAAGGGAATATAGGTGAGGGGAAACCGAGCGTAGGTTAGCAGCCGCTCCCTGCATCGGCCTTGCGAGGCAAGAGAGGGGGAGTGGAGCGTAGGAGAGGAGAGAGAGGGGACATGCATTTACAATGGGACGTTAGAGACTGCTGGGAGAGATGCCTAGACGGTAGAGTGGGAGGAGCGAGTGCAAGTAGATGGTAGGAGAGAAGTAGAGAGAGTAACAAGCCACTCTTGGAAAGAGGGTAGGAGGAGAGTTGTGCATGCGTAGTGTGAGTGCAGACACCCATGCCACGAGGCATAGCCCCGAGCATGAGATGTTTCGCATCTAAAATCAGCGTGAGCAGAATGGAGCAGAAGAATAAAATACAGCACGGCACTCATAGTGTGTCCTTCTATGCTTGTGCTCTATCCTATTTGTGCTGATTTTAGATGCGAATATCTCTTGCTCTCGACACTAACTAAATTTCGATTTTAGCGTTTGGTCCACTTATTTTTCTTGAGGTGCACTCATTGGCCAGTCAGGCATCCCAGAACCATCGTGGACACGGTGATGTCGGGTCTGGATCAGGCGCCTAAAATGGTCTGGTTTAATGGCTAACAACAGTCAAATAGTTCTGGAAATGTGCTAGAATTATTAGAGTGCACTTACCGTGCTGAGAATCATCTCTTAACTGTACATGTAAGGTGCCAAATGACACTGTTTACGTAACATTAAGCTGACTAATATTTTTTATTTCTTGCCAGCTCAAGCAGCATAGACTCTGTGAAATCAAGGCGCAGCATGACACCGAAAGAGGAGTCTGATTCTGACAGCGTCTACGGCTTTCCTTCCTGATTATCTTCGAACACTGCCAAATGTCACTTCGCATTCCATTGTAGGACAGAGATAGGGAGAGTGGAAAGGTGTCCCATACAAATTTATCTCGCAGATGCGATGTAATGCAGACTGTGTTGATATTACTGTGTGGCAAGGATGAATCCTGTATGGTGCATCATTGCTTAGCGGTGTATTTTGCTAGCTACAAGCACGAGTCTAATGGAGAGTCTAAACTGTAGATATCTGACATTTTCTTGCGTGCAGTCACTTGTTGTGATGATGTAATATTTAGCACTATTTGCTTGCATAGATTGGTTCTATGCGTTGCATGACTATATGCATTTGTGTTAAGAGGCCTGATCAGTCGGTTATGAATTTGTATAGGCCACCACTTTTCACGAAGTAATGAAATAATAGAACTGAGTTGTCCGAGAGGCTACATGAACCTTTTGAATTACTGAAAGCTGTTTCCTTCATGTATATGTATTTTTTTCTTTTTTTTCCACTCTCAAAAGCGTCTATGGCTTTCCTTCCTGATTATCTTCGAACACTGTATAATGTTACTTCCATTGTAGGACAGAGACAAGGAGAGGTGGCCCATACAAATTTATCTCAAGCATTTAATCTAATGCAGACTGTGTTCATATTACTATGTGGCAAGAATGAATCCTGTAGGTTGCATCATTGCTTAGCGGCGTATTTTGTTAGCTACAAACATGAGTTTAATGCAGAGTCTAAACTGTAAATATCTGACATTTTGTTGCTTGCAGTCACTTATTGTGATGACGTAATATTTAGCACTATTTGCTTGCATGTATTGTACATAGATCGGTTGCCTGCGTTGCATGATTATATGCATTTGTGTTAAGACGCCTGATCAGTCGGTTATGAATTTGTATAGGCCACCACTTTTCACGAAGTAATGAAATAATAGAACTGAGTTGTCCGAGAGGCTACATGAACCTTTTGAATTACTGAAAGCTGTTTCCTTCATGTATATGTATTTTTTTTCTTTTTTTTTCCACTCTCAAAAGCGTCTATGGCTTTCCTTCCTGATTATCTTCGAACACTGTGTACTGTTACTTCCATTGTAGGACAGAGACAGGGAGAGGTGGCTCATACAAATTTATCTCAAGCATTTAATCTAATGCAGACTGTGTTCATATTACTGTGTGGCAAGGACGAATCCTGTAGGGTGCATCATTGCTTAGCGGCGTATTTTGCTAGCTACAAACACGAGTCTAATGCAGAGTCTAAACTGTAAATATCTGACACTTTGTTGCTTGCAGTCACTTATTGTGGTGACGTAATATTTAACATTATGCTTGCATGTATTGTACATAGATTGGTTCTATGCGTTGCATGACTATATGCATCTGTGTTAAGAGTCCTGATCAGTCGGTTATAAATTTGTATAGGCCACCACTTTTCACGAAGTAATGAAATAATAGAACTGAGTTGTCCGAGAGGCTACATGAACCTTTTGAATTACTGAAAGCTGTTTCCTTCATGTATATGTATTTTTTTTCTTTTTTTTTCCACTCTCAAAAGCGTCTATGGCTTTCCTTCCTGATTATCTTCGAACACTGTGTACTGTTACTTCCATTGTAGGACAGAGACAGGGAGAGGTGGCTCATACAAATTTATCTCAAGCATTTAATCTAATGCAGACTGTGTTCATATTACTGTGTGGCAAGGACGAATCCTGTAGGGTGCATCATTGCTTAGCGGCGTATTTTGCTAGCTACAAACACGAGTCTAATGCAGAGTCTAAACTGTAAATATCTGACACTTTGTTGCTTGCAGTCACTTATTGTGGTGACGTAATATTTAACATTATGCTTGCATGTATTGTACATAGATTGGTTCTATGCGTTGCATGACTATATGCATCTGTGTTAAGAGTCCTGATCAGTCGGTTATAAATTTGTATAGGCCACCACTTTTCACGAAGTAATGAAATAATAGAACTGAGTTGTCCGAGGGTGTGATGGTTCAGGACGTTCGTCACTATGTTTGCTTATAGCGGACGAGAAAGGATTAACATGAATAATTTATTTGATGGCACGGGTGGAACGGCTGACGGCGCACGGATACGCTACCGTGTGCAGCGCCGTTGAGTCGGACGTCGCGGCCAACCCAGCAGTCAGGGTCGCAACTCCGGAGGTCCAGGATCAGGCCACCGCTCACGAGGACCACACCCGGTAGGTCTCACCCACGAACCTGCTCCCGGCCACTGCACCCAGGCAGGAGCCGTTCTGCAGGCCCCGTCCTTGGACCTTGTACAGGCCGACGGACTCGACCTCGAACAGACACACCGGGGTTCGACCTGGCCGACACGTACGGGTCCCACGTCCGGCTCAGGAACGCTGCCAGGAACTCGTCCTCTCGAGCGGCGCACCGCTTCGTCTGCCTGCGTGGCCTCAACCCTCGAGCTCTTTTTCCCACGTTCCTTCTTCTTGGCCAAGGCACCGCCAGGTACCCTCGGGTGCACACTGCAGCTCATGAGCTCGCGGCCCACGTCCGAGTCTGGCGCGTCGCTCGGTACGGCTCGGCACCGCTCGGCAATCCTCGATTCAGCCAGAACTCCCCTGGCACCTGGATCCTCGGCCACTCTGAACCTCGCCCGGCTCCGTGGTCCTCCGTACACACGCCCACGTCTCGCCCGGCAGAAGGTCTTGCTCGTCCCTTGCCGATGTGCGACGCTCTGGTGACACCAGCGCATGATGGCATAGGTGCGGCTACGGAGCAGTCAACCCGCGTCGGAGATGCGATGCTCCATGCGGGGAATGGCCAGCCCGTCCAGCGAACAGCTTGCGTCGAGACGCGATGCTCGGCGCAACCGTGACCATTAGCCAGGCCACGTTTATCGCTGTGCCGAACGGCTGACCATGGAGACGCCTCGCCGAGATCCGCGATGCCCTCGGCAAGGAAGAGAACAGCAGGCCAGGCCGCGCCCCGAGATGCAGTACTCGTGCCGGCAATGCTGCCTCAGCTGGTGGTTGGACGGCAGCAGCGTGGACGGCCGCGTTCCCTGGCCGGAACCTAAATCGCCTGCGTCCCACGCTTCGGCCCGCTGTCTTCCGTCTGCCGCTGCTCCGGCTCGTCCCCAGCCACAAAGCTTACCGCCACGTAATGATCACACGTGGCCCAATCGTGGCACGCCACTTCTATGGGCCACCGCTAGTCATCAGCTGATTGGCGCACAGTTGCCTCGTAATCGCACGTGCCTTGTCCCGCACCTTCGTCGTTGTCGTTTTTCTCGAATCCTCACAATAACCCCCCACACAAGAAAGTTGTTTCCACAAAACAACTTTTCTCACACAACAATGAACAGACGTCGCTCCTCGAGCAGTTGCCTTTCAGCCTCCATGCGAGCTATTTCACGCTCATGCTCCGCCTGCGCTGCTAGACGTGCCTCCTCTCGATCTTTCGCTCTCTGGTCCCTCATTTCTTTTTCCTCAGCGCTCACCCATGCCAGCAAAGCCTCTCCACTCAGCCCCATCTTCTTCTCTAGCTCAACTAGCTTTCTCTTGTCGTCCATTCTCGTCTGCCACACACAAACAACCTGAGGCTCTCAGATGTAACGCAAGAGATTAGTCCTGTCGCGGACGCCAGATATTGTGATGGTAAAGGATGTTCGTCACTATGTTTGCTTATAGCGGACGAGAAAGGATTAACATGAACAATTTATTTGATGGCTCGGGTGGAACGGCTGACGGCCCACGGATACGCTACCGTGTGCAGCGCCGTTGAGTCGGACGTCGCGGCCAACCCAGCAGTCAGGGTCGCAACTCCGGAGGTCTAGGATCAGGCCACGGCTCACGAGGACCACACCCGGTAGGTCTCGCCCACGAACCTGCTCCCGGCCACTGCACCCAGGCAGGAGCCGTTCTGCAGGCCCCGTCCTTGGACCTTGTACAGGCCGACGGACTCGACCTCGAACAAACACACCGGGGTTCGACCTGGCCGACACGTACGGGTCCCACGTCCGGCTCAGGAACGCTGCCAGGAACTCGTCCTCTCGAGCGGCGCACCGCTTCGTCTGCCTTCGTGGCCTCAACCCTCGAGCTCTTTTTCCCACGTTCCTTCTTCTTGGCCAGGGCACCGCCAGGTACCCTCGGGTGCACACTGCAGCTCATGAGCTCGCGGCCCACGTCCGAGTCTGGCGCGTCGCTCGGTACGGCTCGGCACCGCTCGGCGATCCTCGATTCAGCCAGAACTCCCCTAGCACCTGGATCCTCGGCCACCCTGAACCTCGCCCGGCTCCGTGGTCCTCTGTACACACGCCCGCGTCTCGCCCAGCAGAACGTCTTGCTCGTCCCTTGCCGATGTGCGACTGTCACACACTTCGGGTGAGGCCCCGCCGATCCAACATCGACATGCGGCAGACTCGCAGGCTTCCACTCTACGCTTCGGCCTGCGTCGCCTGAAAGGCCTCGAAGTGGCACATTTCAAATTTATTTGCGGGTTGGTCAACCCGTGCGGGGTTGCACGTGTGGTGATGTGTGGGCCTGACCGACGCACTCATAGAGCAGACACCGAGTTTGATTACACATAAACAAGCATTTAATTAAAACAAGGGCGAAGGCAGGAAAATAACAGAGAGGAAAAATACTGAGGCGCGATGGAAAGAACAGCTATATAACAAAATATGCAAAAAAACAATACAAAAGATACAGACTAAAGACAAATACGCGGAATGTTAAACTAATGACATGAATCAAAGGAGATACAAGGCAATAATTACAGAATGCTCATGGTGGCGCTTTTGAATTTCAACGTGCGACGCAGTGCACCCTACAAATATTTAAAAAAAGGCTGGTTAAAATAATTTAACAGTTTAAAAAAAGTCACAATAAAAGGTTCCATACGGACCAGGCCAGCTCTTGGTGCACGTAGGGGAGTTGACGGGTGCCGCTGAAGGTCTCGCCGGCTTGGTAGACGACGAGGGTGCCCGGAATTGCAGCCGTCTCAATACGTTGCGTGGGTCACTCCGTGCTCGCCGCCTACGCGAGACTCGCGACACCGACGACCGCACTTGTTGCTGGCTGTACGTCAACTGCTCTTCCGATGCAGTCCAAATCTCTTCAGGGGCGTACACGTGACCCCGTCTCATCTGGGGGTAATTTTCCTTTTTTAGACCGCCGGTGCCCCTTTCTGTACAGGTGCAGGGAAGACGAGCCGGCGCCACGCTGGGTCGTTAGTCGCCGGATGTCGTCCCCCGAACACAAAAGCGCCCCTCTTTGGAAGATGGGGCCCGCGGATAATCCGAAAATTGGAGTCGTTTGTGACATAGCCCCCTTCTTAAGAATATTACTGCGTAATATTCAAGAAAATCACAAACGCAGAATGTTCGAGAGCTTGCAGTGTTCTGGTTGTCCACCAATGCGTTTTCTTTTTCACGCACCATTTCACTGACGTGGACGAGATCGCAGAGAACACCTGACACACTACGCTTCACGGTCACCATAAGATGAAAGTTATAACTCGCGCACAACGTCATGGCCGCACACATTCGAAAAGAAAATCACAAAAATACTGTACCCTTCCAAGCTAAGGCACGTAAGCATCCTTTGATGCCACATATTAAAACAATACACGCTTTAAGCGGTATACAAAAGTCGCTTATTCGCACGCAGCTTTAAAAAAAGATGATTGAGAAAGAAATCGGCATGATCGCCTGTACACAGTTCTGGTACTTGCTGCACCCTAAAGCGCTTCATTTCGAAGTAACAACAAAAACTAAAGCTTTGAAGAACATATATCGCCATGTTTATCACACAAGCCTACCACGTTAGACTTCGATTGTGTGACCAACCAGTCTCTTAAAAAGAAGCCCAAGCAATTAAAATAACAATATCCCTAAAACACGGCTTTCTAATTGAACGGCTAATAAGTTTAAACAACAGAACATTGTCTACAAATACAAAGACGACACAAGAAAATCAACAAAATGGCGAAGCAATTGGTCCCAACATTTATCAAGTGCTTCAATATTGTAAGACAGAAATGAACATTGCTTTAAAAAATGTCCTTTTTCTTTAAGGCTACGGTGGCACTTCGATGTACGCAACCTTTATCCGCGCTCGAGGTCGTCGCGCTCTTGGGGGAGCCCTTCGAAGCAACCAGGGCAGACAAAAGAGTGTATGGCTGCCACATGGACGCCTGTTTCTCGTTAGTCTACCCTGTGGCAGCAAGCCATCGTCGACGCCGCGTTCTACGGAAATAGGCCTTGCAACCACGTCGCGTCGTCTAGGCATAATGCGCTCCCTCCCCGTGCATTCCGCTACTCGAACACAAGAATGGAGCTGTGGGGGTCGACTTCTCCGAGCAGCAGGTACAATCGCCTGCCTCACCCCCCTACCCTTCGGGCGGTTTGGGGCATGGGGACGTGCTCACCTTGCGAATGTCACTATGCGCAAAATAATCTTTCGTTGCTTTGTGTCACGTTTGGGGCCTCTCATTTGCTTGGGTTTTCTTACAGCTTTGGCTGCTTTCTGTACTTTTCGGCGTCTTTTTCGTTCGGCACATTTCCTTGTGCACTTTTTTGGAGCATCTGCTTCCATCAAATCTTGAGCATAACTACTCTTGTTGGTCTGAATTGATACACTGTGAACACAGCCGGGATTATTTCTTCTTGAATCAATGCTATCCTCACTTGAGGACAGCTTAACCGGCTCCTGAACAATGCAAATGGATTCCTCAGGGCTGCGCCGCTCGCACCTGAAAGAACTATCTACAATTGTACTGTCCAGTCCACAATGCACTTCAGCACATGGCTCTGACCCAATGTAATTACAGGGGTTCTCGCCTCCCGATCTGGTAGTACTGCGGACTTCAGTGTCAGCCGCCATAGAGACGAACATACATGGTGGCTGTGGCGAGTCACCAGCAGAGGGTTTTTCTGTACCATTCGAACCCTGCCGGCACAGCTCCTCGTCACCATGTCTCCAGCTTTCATTGGCCACTTTTGCCACAAAA